TCACTTCACAGCAACTCTGTGGGTGAGAATGAGTGCCTCTTAACGGTAAGGGAATAGGTTCAGAAGGGCCTACGCACTTGTTTATTGACAAACAGCTAGTAAAAGTCAGGACAGGGATTCAGCAAACAGAGTGGTTCCCCAAACTACTCTGCTCGTAAAACACCTCCCTTTTGAGAAGTGCTCCAGCTGCCAGGTTTCCCAAAGCACCCGCCATGAGCATCCCCACTTTTCCTGAAGACGACACCGGAGCTCAGAGATGTCAAGGAAGTTGCCTAAGGGCGCCCAGCACTTGAACCAGTTCCTGCAGCACAGAACCTGTCCTGTCTTCACTGCACTTCAGAGCAAGGGAGCTGCCGAGAGGGGACCCAGAAGCCCTCCTCTCAGACCCCTGCCCTCCCCAGACCCTGGGTTCCTTTGCAAGGAGACAGGGGACCCACGACATGCTGGGCACAGTCCAGAAAGGACCTGCTCAGCAAATGCAGTTCAAGGAGTTGGCGCTTCGGCTTGCGGCTTGCGACTGAAATGGCATGGCCTTGAAACCACACTGCTCTCCTCTCAGGCTCAGAATTTTATTTCCTTTGGAGAAAGGGGAGCCAAGAACCCGAGGAGTAACAACAACAAACAACAGCACAAATGAGCCAATGTTACTGAACCAGAGAGAGTTCAACGCCCCCCGCCCCCCAAAGAAAAATGCAACAACCACAGCGTACAACCTTCCACAATATCGCACTTCTCTATCTGTGACACAGCAACATCGCCCTCTGCTGCCAGTCGGCAGTATTACCCCATCTCCCAGAGGTGAAAGCTAATCTCCAGCTTCCCCTTGGCCACCCCCGCCCCCCGCCCCCCCCCCTCACCGCCCCCCATGTCTGAGCTATGACACACATCCAGGGGCCACTCTTCACATTACAGCCGTGATTCTCTTTGACTTTAAGGAGCACAGAGAAGGAATTCTCCCTGGCTCTGACCAGGCATCTTCCAAACCCACAGCTGAAAGCTGTCTGAGGTGCAAGGTGCAGAGTTTGGGTTCCCCAAACCACTCTGATGATAAAAAAAAAAAAACCTCCCTTGAGTGAGATGCTCCAGCGTGCCAAGTCTTCTAAAGCAGCCACCATTAGCATTTCCCTTTTTCCTGAAGAAGGCAGTGGAGCTCAGAGATGTCAAGGAAGTTGCCTAAGGGCGCCCAGCACTTGAACCAGTTCCTGCAGCCAGTGTGAGGTGAGGGAGGGATCTGAGGTTCCAGAGACTGCCCTGCTCCTCCTCCCCGCCTCACGTTCTCTCTGCTCACAGAGTCCCACTGCACATGTGCCCCAGTGTGCCATGGGAAAGCAGGGGCCAGGGGACATTTAAGGAGCTGTCATGAGGAGCAGAGCACCCAGCTCTGTGGCCAAGTCACAGCCTGAGCCCCAAGTGGGAAGTGGGTCCCAAGACCCCTGGTGGGAGGTGAAGCCACTCTGACCCTGAGCAGCTCCTTTCCTCCGTCCTCCCTGGGACTGGGACTCTGCCTGCAGCTGTGGCTCCCTGTACCAAACAGCCACGGTCACAAAGAACGGGGGGGCCCGACTGCCTATTAATCCACGTGTCCTCCCTGGGGGGCCTCAGAGCTGCCGATCTTCGCATCTGATTGACCCTCCACTGGCGGTGGGGAGGACCACGTCCCTCCACACGGCACCCCATCACAGGGCTAATGACCTGGAATCAGCACCCACTCTGTGGACAGCTCCCCCACTTTACAAAAGGCTCCGCCCCTGAGACTGGGTCATTTCATGAAGCAGGGCAGTCCCATGGGACAAGGACAATAACTGTGCTAAATAAAGGGGTCTGTGCATTTCCCAGGCAGCCTGGCCTCCAAGACTCGCAGGACACCATGCAGTGGTTGTAAATTCACTGTGAGATCTACTCTTTGACAGCCTATGGGCAAGGTTTGGGGGCAGGAGCCTATATGGGGGACAGAAAAATGATCGACTAACAAGCCTTCCCTCAAGTCCACAGGAAGCTCAAACAGGTGCATGAGGAATGAGCAAAACAAGGCAGTTCCCGCTGAGTCACCAGGAGGGAGGACGGACAGGGTGGCCATGCCTCCCAGGGGCTCCCACCCACTGAGGAGCTGACTCTCGGCCACGGAAGATGGGGAGACCTTGGAAGGATGAACATCGTCCCCAGATGATGAGACAGCAGAGCCAGGGCGTGGAGGTGGGGAAATGCAGAGCGTGCCTGGGCAAGGGGGCATCCTGTGGGGTGGGGGGGTCTCGTACCTAGGAAAGCAGTGAGCTAAGGACTGGAAGGGAGGGTGGGCACAGGGCAGAAGGCTCTGATGGTGTGATGCATCTGGAATACTCTGTAGGCAGAGGGGGCCCTGAGGAGCTGGGGGAAAGGGGTCAGGACCTGAGCTGTGAGGTAGGACGCTAGCCTGTGGGGTAGGGGGTGGGGAGTCAGTCAGGAGGTTGCTGCTGAGCAAGGCCCGGGAAGACTCCAAATGAGGGCCATGGCCTGGGGAGGCCGGGGAGGCAGGGAGGCAGGGCACCAGCTGGGTGTCATTGTTACTTTTGGTCAAGAGCTTGTGGCCCGTAAACCGGTGCTAATCCCTCCCCAGCCTTCACTCTGAGCCTCTCCTGGGTCTAGGGCAGCCGTGGGCAAACTACGGCCCGCGGGCCGGATCCGGCCCGTTGAAATGAATAA